CAAGGGTCAGACACCTAACTGACTGTGCCACCCAGGTGCCCCTGGAGTCCTAATTTTACCTTGCATTTTCTAGCTTAAAGCTTTTCCCCTCTAAAATCATGAACTTGTATCTATGATCAAAAGTCCTGAAGGGGATCATCAAGGAGTCATTTCTCAGTCTATTTGGAAGCTATTGCTTCATTTAACGAATGAATAGTTTCCCTTTTAAGAACCACACAGGGAAAAAAATGCCCAGAACTTCTCTCCCACGATGCTCAGAACACAGAACTATGGAAAGAGAAGGGTTCTTAGTGATCTAGGGCAGCTCTGTTTTCACGGCCTGAGGGAGGTGAAGTACAAGGTTACCAGGTAGCAGGTGAGCTTGAGACTAAACCTTCTGGCTCATGGCTTGTCCCATGTCCTACGTTTTGCATTGCATATGAAAGCCACAAAAAACCAAACCTCCAAATACCTGTCTCCCCCAAACCAAACCCACCATCCAGTTCTAAAATCAAGTTGTCACTGTTACTGAACCATAAAGCAGGGGCTGCCCCATCCTACCATTGAAGGAGTAAGACCCCTAGGGAAACGCAGCCCTGGGAGGCGGAAGGAGCCCAGTCACACAGAGGGAACCAGCCCACAGGCTCCTCCTTCCCAAATGACAGAGCCTGGAAGAGTGCTTTTCTCCTTCCACAACATAACGAATTGCTGCTCCCCGGCTAGCCTCCAGCCTTCGCTCTGTGCCAAGCTCTGGCTTCCATCCAGCCCCTCCTTGGGAGCCAAACCCCAGACTCTCTTGTCCTAGGAACTGGTCCAGAAGGGCTTTGGCAGTTGGCAAGGAGGAGCTTTATACCACGGCCTGGGGGGCCCAGCTGCCCAAGCTCTGGCTGCCTGGGTGGGTGGCCGGGACCCCTACTCTGCAGACCCCTGCCCCGCACTGCAAAAGAAGGACAAGGAAGGGAAATAACAGGTTAGTAGCTCACTGAGGGGCTGTTGGGGATGGGGAGTGAGAGATGGCTTACTCTGGCTGGTTCTTCCTTCTTCTGGGTGCAGAGGAATCTGATGACACCAGAGCCTGGGTCCCAAGGTGCCTTCTTAAATTCAGCCAAAGAATTAGCTCCTGGGATCCCAGAACCACACATACTCTTCACGCCTGGGATTCTGCACTCTAGTAAATCTGGCATTGGGACAGAGTGTGAGTGGGTACAGGCAACTTCTCTCTGTAAGGTTTTTCCTCTGTTCCCTTCCTTGGAGGGAACAGTGCTTGTGATGGCTTCTCTTGTACCTCTGAGTTTCTTTAGGATTGCCAGGATGGGTTGGCCTCCGACCCTGAGGCTTGATGGCGTCCTCCAGCTATGAAGTCTCATCCCCACAAGATTCAGAAAGTACTTACATTGATGTCATTTGGAAAAAAAAAAGTTGCCAGAATGAAACAAAAATCTCAAATTCCCTGTAGAACTCATGGCCTCTTCCCTCTCCCCTGCTACCATGCCTTCTTTCCCCCCGCCCCCCTACCAGAATTCTCGGGGACTCCGAGATGCCATTTTGAGGAGTGGATTGTAGGAGAGTCTTCCCTCTCACAACAAAGAACTTCCCTCTAAGGAAAGAGCAGGAGGTGGGTCTGGTCTGTGGCCCCACACAATTTAGAGTTGGGAGGGCCTTGGGGTACCCTCTCTTTCAAGGCTATCTGATTCACGACTCTGTTGTCAATGTCCCTGTTCGTTATTGGACAGCCCCTGCTAATCCAGTGTCCTCACAGCCCAAGTTAGCTGACCTAGAATTTTCACTGACTGGTTTTGCTCTTGATACCTGAGACTGTGTTGAATTACAAAACAAAACAACCCCCAAAGATAATGGTGCAGAGGGCATGCAGGCCTGATTTTTTATTTTTTTATTTTTTAGATTTTATTTATTTGAGAGAGAGAGAGCACAAGCAGGGGTAGAGGGAGGACAGAGGGAGAAGCAAAGGCCCCACTGAGCAGGGAGCTCAACATAGGGCTCCATCCCAGGAGCCCGAGATCATGACCCGAGCCAAAGGCAGACACTCAACTGATTGAGTCAACCAGGCACCCTGAGCTCTTTTTTTCAAAGTATAAATGGATGTAAGAAGTTCATTGAGTTGCCAGTGAATGTACTGATTTGCTTCAGAAGAATGTACAGATGGGGGAGATGGGAGTTTGGAGGAGAAGCACAGATGGAGAAGTCTTTTCATTTTGATTTGTCACTGAGCAGAGACCTGGAGTTGCTGAGGGTGTCAAGACTCAACAGATGCAAACCCAGGGAGGAAAGGCGACACAGACACATGGCAGGCACAGCCGGCAGGAAATGTGTTTCTGCAGGGCTCAGATGCCAGAGGAAGGGCACACAACCAGGGCTGGGGGGCTGGGAGATATTTCAGCCCAAGTCCGCGGTCCTCCCAGGGGACAGATCTGGGTGCTCACAGATGGCTGAAGACCTAGGGATATTCCCCGAGGACAGAGGCAGACTGATCCTGCCACCCCCACTCTTAAAGGCTGTGCGCTGTCTGCACCCTTGCCTGCTGAGCCCCGCATTGCTCTCTGAAGGGCACGTGGCCTGCTCAGCGCCATGACTTTGTCCCGCTACTTCTCTTGAAATCTGTGTTCTTTTGGGTGCCACCTGAATGCAGATATTCTAACTTTGCTTTTGTGGGTTCTCATTATTGAAAAATTTTGTAGAGTTCTGAGCACAAATGCACATCTACAGAGTCCTGTTTTAGAAAGCATCTGCTGGTCTCTGACATATCTGTGTGTGTGTGTGTGTGTGTGTGTATGTGTGTATGTGTGTGTGTGTGTATTTATTTTCCCCAGCCAAAACAGGCTTTCAGGGCCACAGAGTGATGTGGGTAGAGTCCTTAGGATAAACCAATAATGTGATTCTTTTTTTGGTTCACTAGATTGTTACATAAAGTGTCTGAAATTTGTAAGCTTTTCAGCTGGTTGGTGACACTTGATAATCACTTGAGTTTATATGCCAATGGTTATGTTTAAATTGTACACATGGGATCGGCCTGGGCTATTTCTGGAGGCATGTGGGTTACTTGTGCCTAAATAGCCCAGCTCCCCCGGCTACCGTTGATAAGCTTGAGCTACACCCAATTGGCCACGCACTTAAAGCGCCCCTTGGCTGCCTCAGTGCGGGGCGTGGGGGGGGGCTGTCTAAGGAAGCAGAACAGATTTTGGTCTATGCTCTGCTTTTGCACTCACTGAGACATGCTGGTGGAAGTGGTGGTCCTTCTCAGATGAGAACAAGGAGGACCCAGTTTCTTTAGAGACTCACAGACTGTCAGAAACTGATATATTGTGGTGGCCTCTGGAGTGGCCACCTTCTTCCCTGCTGTGCCTCAGATGGGGCAGAAGATAGTTCCACCCAGTCCTGGTGGGTCTGATTTCCCTGGGTAGCTGCTTAGTGAAAAAGGACCTGCTGCTTCTAGAACCATCTCTAAAACTAGGAAGGAGTCCTTAATTAAACAAGTACACCGAGGCAGGCATTGAAGACTCCATGTGATAATTCAGCTGTTGCTGGTCTGCTTGCTGCCTGGTGGGTGACTGGGAAGGAAGGCGCCTGCCACCTGCAGCTTCCATTGCTGAACCACGTCCCCAGCCCACGTGGGCCCAGGTATCAACGTTCAGTCCTCAGGTCTGTGAGGGGGTGCTAGGGGCTGACTTACCTGGTCCCTATTCCCTCCTGGTCATCCTTCCTATGAAATAGTTTTTATTTTATTTTTAGATATTTATTTGAGAGTGAGCGAGCAAAAGTGAGTGTGAGTGGGGAGGAGCACAGGGAGAAGCAGACTCCCTGCTGAGCTGGAAGCCCAACGTGAGGCTCCATCCCAAGACCCTGAGTTCATGACCTGAGCTGAAGGCAGATGCTTAACGGACTGAGTCCCCCAGGCGCCCCTCCTATGAACTACTTTTGAGTGCTGGTAGTGGAAGAACTTAACTGATGGTGTGCACTGATGCTGACACGAGGCAGCATGGCCACTGAGGCTCATAGGATGTCACTTCACAGCCTCCCACAAGCTGTCTTCTGATGGGCTGAGCCAGCGGCTGAGCTAATGTGGTATTTTGACATAATCATCAGGTACCAGAAGCAGAGTGGGATGGGAAGTGATGTAGGGAGAGCAAGTCTCCTAATGTGGTGTCCTGCAGACAGGAGAAGGCGGCAAATACCCTGTCCTGATGTTTGTTAAGAGTTGATAAAAAGACGTCAGAAGCCGCAGTGTGAAAGTGAGGCTGGGAGAGGGTCAGAGAAGGTGGCCACATGTCTGTGAGCGAGCTTCCCCAGGGCCCCCTTTGTGCCCGCCCTCCCTAGGGTCTGAGTGCACAGCTCCTGCCCAGCAATGTCTGCCTTTCAATCCCATTGTTCTTAACCTATTCTAATCTAACTCCAAGGTATTTTATTTTGGAATCACAACTCCAAAACCTCTTGTTTGAAGGGTTGTTTCAATTTATTGATGAACCAAAGAAACTAGCACAATGGGATGTGAAAGGCCAGGAGAGGTGGATAGGGGTTCCTTCTGCCCGGCTCCCACGCTGCCAGGATGAGCCCTCCCACACCTCACCTCATGGGCGCCGCCCCTCAGAGGGGGAGGCCTAGCCTGCAGGGAGCACAGTTCTCTGCCCCTGCGTCAGGAGTGGGAAAATCTCCTCACCCCCACCCCACTGGAAAGACTCCCTCTGCAGGATCATAAACCTGCATCTGGGACCTAAAAACACAGCTCTTGGAAAACATTTTTCCAGTCCGCTGCTATGCTTTTTCACACCTTTGTATTCGTTTGTGTCTGAAACAGCACATCTAGAGACAGACTGTAAACCCCGCCCACTAGATACTATTATTCTTTTCTTCTCTGCTGCTTAGTAGTCTAAATCCAGGTGGATCCCTCTCACATTCCAGAGAGAAAATAATAAGACCTTACATTAGAGTTTTCAAAAGTGTGGACATATGTTGCCTCATTTGAACCTCCCAGCAGCCCTGGGAGGTGGGCAGGTGGGCATCGTGGTCCCAGGATCCTGAGGATAGCTGTCCCAGTGAAGCCAGGAACTGAATCCATGTCCTCCAGCTCCTGGTCCAGGGCTCCTTCCACTCCCCAAGATGAAGCGAGCTCACCTCGATGAGCACAGCAGCCTTCGCTGAGGAGACATGAAATGTCCTTTGGGCTGGCTGACCAAGGTGACTGGAAGTACAGAGCTCGTCAGTGGGCTCAGGGGAGAAACACACCTGAGTGAAATTGGCATCAACGGCAGACGGGGAACTAGGGTAGGCCATGGGCATCTTGGACAAGGGTTTCCTGGTTTCTTGATTCGAACCTGGACCACACTGGTGCTGCAACTGGGACTCAGCAAAGTCCGGGAGGAGAGAAGGCATTCAGAGGACTTTCTCATCTAGCAACTTATTGATTCCTTCACACATTCTCTTGAGGTTGGGCCGACAGTCTCCTTCCAGACTATAAAGGGTGGAGAGGAACTCCACATCGGCAAAGTGGTTGAAGACGTGGTTGATGCGCCCGTGGGTCCGGGGCGTCAGGTGTCGCTGCACCAGTTCATGCACCAGGTCCTTGCACTCGTGCAGGAGCTTGGAGAGCACGTTCCTGTCAAACGTGTATTCCACCTCGTAGAAGCTGACGATGGTCATGGCGGTCTGGTTCAGCTTCTTCCTGAGCTTCTCCACGACGACCACCTCCTCCTGGCTGAACTGGTTGTGTCGGTAGAGGATTCCGATTTTGATTGCCACCTTGATCAAGTCTTTCATGATCTTGTGGGCTTCCTTCTTGTTGTGGGTGTGCTCTTTGGTGACTTTGTAGAGCTCATCGAAGATCTCGCTGCTGGTGTCATCGATCAACATATTTGCCATGGTTTTGCTGGCGATTTTACTCAGGATCTTCTTCTGGGCTTGAAGGGCAAGGTTCTTTGAACTAAAAACATCGGGACCTAGTGTGAGGAAAGAGAGAAAAGTTAGAGAAATATGAGAGCTGTTTATTATGATTCCACAAGTGAAAGACACTAATTTGAATTTACGTTCCTAGAGCAAAAACAAGCCTTTATATCCCACCGCTCCCTCACCAAACTCCACCCAAGCCTGGGATTGCTAGTGTCCTCTCCACATACCATGCTTGTTTATCCTCTTGAATCTTCTAATCACCCTCTTCCTTCTCTGGAAGTGGCCTCCTCTTCTCTAGGCCAAATCTCACCCTTTTAGAGCTACTTCATGCACAATGCTTTCCTGACCCTCTTAGCTCACAGAGAACTCCACTATTCAGTTGTGCAAATTACTACAACAAGCACATCGCACCGACGCCAATGCCATTCCCTGGATGGACATGGATGCCCGATCACGGCAGTCTTTTTGACTGAGTCTCAGAATCCATATTTTGAGTCTAAGGTGTATTTTTTTTTCATGTTCCCTATCTAGGAAATTGTTGTGTGTCTTACAGTCACTGTTGCCAGCGACACATGCACTGTGGCTGTCTTTATCTATACGCAAGCAATTTGCACAACAGGAGCCAGAGATTGGGGAGAAAAGTCAAGAGCACTCAGATGCCCTCAGTTGGCAGAGACAACAGAAGGGCACTGTGTGCGAAACACACACACCAACACCTCCAAGTCAATCAGGTTCTCTTCTTTTCCACTTTATGAATGAACAAGAGTAAAAGATGTTAAAAAAAAAACACCCTATGTCTAAGCATAGGACCTTTCAATAAGTATAACATTTCTAAGTAAAAAAGAAAGCAGTCACTCACAATTTAATTGGCAGCACCTTTTTCTTAAGAGCACATAAAAGAACCTCTTATAATCAGTGGTGCCTTAGATTTGATGAACTACTCCGTGGTGTGGACAGTTAGCTAGAGCTGACATCAGAAACCCACTGCCCATCCCGCTATAGCGTGTACGTGTATTACTGGCCCAGAGGAGAGGTGGGTTGCCCGAGGGTGGAGACGGTGTCTCCCACAGCTCCCAGCTCTGTTCTGGGCACAGGGATGAAATGGCGTCTGCTGGATGAAATACCAGAGAAACACTGCAGAAGAAGAAGGTAGTAAAATACAGTGTGAATTTATATTAAAAAAGTTTTCCTTTGAGGACTGAAGACCCTTCTAGGATCCAAAGAGATTGTATCCAGTGCTTTGTGGCCACAGGGAAGTAACAGGACAGGCAGAATGGACACATGGCCATACAAGCCAGCCAGGTCCCGCAAGCCTCGCCTGGCCGCCCCCATGTTCCACATGGTCTGCCCACCTGGGGCTTATGGCTCAGTGCTCAGAGATTAACACCCAGATGCTCGGGTCTCACGGACAGACTCAAAAAACACTCCCACACAATTTAAACAAGGCTCCCACGCATTCCCCACACCCACTTCCCCTCTCCTCATGGGCCCCGCCTTGCTCCCTCAGCCCTGGGCCTTTCCAGGACAGCTCTACTGCTCTGGGGCTTCTCCTTGCAGGTCCTGAGGGGCTTGGGCTGGAGGGGGGCTGGTGTGGCAGGGTCAGCAGCAGTAGGGCAGTCAGTCGGGGCCAGGAGCATCCTACAGCCCAGGGAGCTCAAGCTCTTTAAAGTCTGAAACCACAGAATCTTCAAGCAACTTCCCAGTCAAATGACCCTGACGCCAGACGTTCCCTACAGTCAAGGTACAAAGGGAACCAACAGGGGAGCCCTGGTCTCAGGCCTCCTGTGTGCCCAGGGCCTCAGGCACTGGTGACTCTGGGTGCGGGGGCAGGGCCGGGGGCGGGGGGAGGGGCAGGGAAGGAGTGCTGAGTGCACCAGGTGCTTCACTCTGTTAGCTGAAGCTGACACTTGTTTTTTTTTTTTTTAATTTCTTTTCAGTGTACCAGAATTCGTTGTTTATGTACCACACCCAGTGCTCCATGCATTCTGCCCTCTTTAATGCCCACAACCAGGCTCACCCAACACTCCACCCCCCACCCCTTCAAAACCCTCAGATTGTTTTTCAGAGTCCAGTCTCTCATGATTCGTCTCCCCCTCCCATTTCCCCCAACTCCCTTCTCCTCTCCATCTCCCCATGTCCTCCGTGTTATTTCTTATGCTCCACAAGTAAGTGAAACCATATGATAATTGACTCTCTCTGCTTGACTTATTTCACTCAGCATAATCTCTTCCAGTCCCGTCCATGTTGCTACAAAAGTTGGGTATTCATCCTTTCTGATGGAGGCATAATACTCCATTGTATATATGGACCACATCTTCCTTATCCATTTGTCCACTGAAGGGCATCTTGGTTCTTTCCATAGTTTGGCGACCGTGGCCATTGTTGCTATAAACACTGGGGTACAGATGGCCCTTCTTTTCACTACATCTGTATCTTTGGGGTAAATACCCAGTAGTGCAACTGCAGGGTCATAGGGAAGCTCTATTTTTAATTTCTTAAGGAATCTCCACACTGTTTTCCAAAGAGGCTGCACCAACTTGCATTCCCACCAACAGTGTAAGAGGGCTCCCATTTCTCCGCATCCTCTCCAACACACATTATTTACTGTCTTGTTAATTTTGGCCATTCTAACTGGTGTAAGGTGTTATCTCAATGTGGTTTTGATTTGAATCTCCCTGATGGCTAGTGATGATGAACATTTTTTCATGTGTCTGTTAGCCATTTGTATGTCTTCATTGGAGAAGTGTCTGTTCATGTCTTCTGCCCATTTTTGGACATGATTATCTGTTTTGTGTGTGTTGAATTTGAGGAGTTCTTTATAGATCCTGGATATCAGCCTTTTGTCTGTACTGTCATTTGCGATTATCTTCTCCCATTCTGTGGCAACCTAGATGAAATGAAGCTGACATATTTTATCAAGGCTTCCTTGCTAGTCTTTTCCCCTCCAGCAACGCCAACATTCTTCTCTCGACCAGTAGCTGTCACACCTTTTGCTCATATACTCCCATAAGAATTTTGAAAAAATTATGCACCTCCTTACACCCTTAACTTGACAGCAAGTATTTTTCACCTTAAGGTTAAATAGTTATAATTTGTTAAAAGATATAATTTCTAGATATTATAAAGTATTTAAAAATTAGCCTGAAACCTGGCGATTCACAGACCTGTACCCCTGGGGATAAAAATATGTTATATGTTTATAAAAAATAAAATTAAAAAAAAAAAAAACAAAAAAAAATTAGCCTGTTAAAGCATTCTTTTAAATATGTCCAAAATAACATAGCACTACAGTGATACAACACCCATTATTATCCATTTTAAAATGTTAAGAGCAAGCTCTTCTTTAAAAATTAGAAATGTTAGGGACGCCCGGGTGGCTCAGTCAGTTAAGTGTCTGTCTTTGGCTTAGGTCATGATCCCGGGGTCCTGTGATAGAGCCTTGGGTGAGGCTCCCTGCTCTGTGGGGAGCCTGCTTCTCCCTCTCCCTTTGCCTCCTGCTCCCCCTTCTTGGGCACTCTCTCTCTCTGACAAATAAATAAAAATTTTTAAAAAATTAGAAATATTACATTGTTCTTCCCCCCCTTATCTCATGACATGACACCCAGAGAATTTCAATGTATTTTTATGCTTGAAAATGTTTTATTTGATCAATTCATCACAATTCTCTACAGCCAAAGGATGCATACAAATTGAAATTTAAATTAAAAGATGATTCTAGTGATCATAAATCTTCATGTCTTAAAACATTTCTTCTAGAGTGAGCTATTTTGTTTTGGGGTACAATATATAATATTAAAATGCTGGTAAACACTAAACATAAAAAATAAATTTTTATTGGAGATGCACTTCCAAATGAAATGTGTAGGGGTGGATTATGGCACCTTGATTCAAAGAGGCACCACCAGCACCAGAGCTTCCTGTCCTTCCTGTGTCTGACCAGGGAGGTTCTGCACCCCGGCTGCATGTCAGTCAGCCCCCATATGAGTCTTTATGGGTTAGAACTCTGACTACAAGAGTGGAAAGGAGAGAGGTCCACCACGCTTTGACCTCAGGTTGTTCCTCAGGTAGGAAAGTGTAGAAAAGAGTATGTATTGAGGTGAGAAAGAGGAATCAGATCTATAAATCAATTCCCTCAAAATCATCCTTGTCTGCACATCAAATGGGAGGTCTGGACTCTCGGTGTGCACACTACATGGAATTCTCTTCAGCAAGAGCAGCAGGATTCCAAGAGGTGATAAAAAGCACTCTTTGGGGTAAGGAGATTCTTGACCAAATAAGTTTGGAAAATACTGGGTTAAGCAGTTAGATTCTTTTCCTTTGAGACTTTAAAACACTCCTTTAATACACTGAGGTGTTTTATCAACTTTTAGAGGGTTGGGTATGGTAGGCAGAATAACCCCCAGCCCCAAGATGTCCGTGTCTTGGTCCCTGGAAACTGTGAGTGTGACCCAGCAAAAGAGACTTTGCAGATGGGACTGAGTTAAGGGCTTAGGGATGGAGAAATTACCCTGGATCATCCAGTCAGCCTGATACAATCACAAGAGTCTTTCAAAGTGAAGGAGGGAGGCAGGAGAGCATGGGACACAGAGGGGGATGTGATGGTGGAAGTAAAGGGTCAGAGTGATGTGGTCATTGGCTGAGAAGATAAAGGAGGGAGCCACCAGCCAAGGAACATGGCTGGCTTCAAGAAACTAGAAAAGGGAAGGAAACACAATCTCCCCTGGGGCCTCCAGGAAAAGTGTAGCCCTGTGGATCCACTGATTTTTAGTCCTGTGAAACCCACTTGGGATTTCTGTTCTCTAGAGGTATAAGTTTGTGGTAATTTGCTTTGTTACAGCAGCAATAATTCAGGTGGATAGACGTGATGTAGCAAGTTTATCTGGTCAGGGTATTCTTTTTGTCTTTTGAGTAGAGCCACCAGCTGCCCGGGGCTGCCAGGATGGAGGGGTTTCCCATATAGAGGACTTTCAGGACTGGAACTAGATCAGTGGCAGGCACATTGGGAAAAGTCGGTCACCCTATTCTGAAACCACCAGTGAGGCATATATCA